CGGGCTGCAGGAACACGGCACTGCCCCGGCTCCGTGCGGGCTCTGGGGGCTGCAGGAACACGGCACTGCCCCGGCTCCGTGCGGGCTCTGGGGGCTGCGGGAACACGGCACTGCCCCGGCTCCGTGCGGGATCCTTGCTCACAGCACAGCAAAAGCAGACGAGCTTCTGGCAGCCCTGCCTGCAGTGGGTGCCCTCCCTGGGGACAGCCCTGTGCCGCACAGCAGGGCAGGAGCAGCACTAGTGGGACCTACCCAGCAGTGCCCACCGCTGCCCTTCTCTCATGCACATCCATGCTTTCCCAGTGTAATGAAAATTACACTGAACTCGTGTAATGAAAATTACACTGAACTCTTCCAGGTTAAATCCTTGCAACAAATGTAAGCAGCAATAAAAAAACCCAAACAAATGAACAAAACAAAACAAACAAACAAAAAAAAAAACCCAAACCAACAAATCATCTTGGGTGAACACTTCTTTCTTCTTCCCCGCCTCAAAAATTTTTTTAACACTATAAGCAACTTAAACAAGACCTTCCTCAAACTCTGATGCCTACCACTGCAGCTGGGCTGGCCTGTGCTGAGGGTAATAGCAATCCTTTAAAGTAAGCCAGGACCCCAGGTGAAGGAAAGGCAAGGCTTTATTGGCAGTTTGGGTCAACAGCATTTCATTTGACTACACAAAGGCAATTGGCAGTTGCTATAGCAGCAAGACAGCCTCTGTAATCTTTTCCTGAGAGCTTCCTCTTAATTTGCACTGAGTCATATATATGGTCTATCTCCTAAAATACTTCCTCACCTGAGCCTTTGCATCAGGATAAACAAGACAATTCTGTCTTTGTGTTTTAATAGAACTTGCTTTAGTGAACAATCATGCAACCAAATTTGAGACATTRGCATCCACACAGGTGTGGATACCAATTCATTTGTTCCAACATCCCTCTGGGGCGAGGAGCTGTTCCACTCTGAGTGCCATGATTCCTGTTTCCCTGACATTTGCATACCTCATCTATAAGGAGGTTTATCTCACCTGCAGGTGCTGTCTGGCATTTGCAATGTTTTTCCCTCACTCCTGTCATGCAGCACTCCCGTGACAGGAAGCTGAGCTCTGGAGGCAGATTTACCACACAGTGGAGCAGACAGACACAGCCAAGCCAGTGCCTTATGCAGAGGCACGGCAGCACCRCCACAGGGTGCAATTTCCCCTGAGGAACATTCCTTTGGCAGCTGCCCAGCYTCAAGCCTGGCAGGACTGAGGAAATGGGCTCAGTGCTGCAGGTGGGCTGTGTGTGGACGTCCTCCATCACCCCTCCCCAGCCACAGCCTCCCACAGGGATGGGCACACCTGACCCTYCCACAGGCACGTGAAGGTCAGGAGGAGCAACTCTTTTTGTATTATGTATTATTCAGCTAACAAACGGGAACCAGAGCATATTCGTTTTCAGCTTCTGGTTTTACAGCTCTCCTTATCTTCATTATTGATCTACTAAAAGGACAAGATGAAATTCTAGAGAAGACACACAGTCAAATAGCACTGGCAGCTTCTTTCCTGAGACTCACAGTGTGGCAGCCTGACTTTGAATGTGCTGCTTTAGCTTCAAAATAGAAACTCTATAACCTGGCTCTAGAAACCCTGGCTTGCTGTAGTATATGTCATCCTCCCAGAAAGGAAATTTACAGTTTGAAAGTGTTGTTACTTTGGGCTTTTTTTTCTCAAGCACTGTACACTGGTAGGAGTGACCAAGCATGTCAGAGTAAAAAAAGGATGCACTATTAATAAAGCAGCATTTCAGATTAGTCAAGCAGAAGCAAAGACTGTACATGGTTGCTGAGGCAGGCGTGACTTTGATTTATCATACAGAAATGTAGCCAAGCAGCCAGCCTGCACTGCTCTGCTCTCAGCACCCCCAGCCTGAGTGACCAGACAAACACTGCAGAAGGAGCTGTGTCCCTCGAGCATCACTTGGTGCAGAGCAAAAGAGGAGCAGGGCAGGGAGGAGCCAGCTCTTGTGGGGACACTCCTCCTACCCCCAAGCCAATGCCAAGAACAAAGGCTTGGCTTTGGAGCACACCATCAAAGTCACCGAGCAGCACTGTTGGCCCCTTGCCCTGGCAGCAGCCCAGGTGGAGGAAGCCCTGCAGAGCAGAGGAGCCCCAGGCACCCCCAGCCTGAGGGGGATTGTGTCAGCCACCCTGGGACTGTGCCCTGCTTCCCATCCCCTCCTGGAGCACCCCCGTGCAGAGATGGCAACAGCAGCTGCAAGGCTGGCATCCTCCTCGTGGTGCACAGAACTTGTAGGAGAGGGCAGCTGGCTGTGGCAGTTCAGGACCTGCCATTTCCATTATTATGATTGTTTTCCAGAAATCAACCTTGGGATGGCTGCAGGAACTTTTCACATTTACCAAGGGTTTGGCCAGGCTCAGTGGGACATTCGAGGTCACATTGAGCTGGTGGGATGCCCAAGCCCTTGGGTTGTCCTGGCCACCATGGGAGCAGCAAAGGCAGCAGGCAGGTCTGCAGCYCACCACAAACAGCAGAGAATTCACATCACAGCAAAGAGCAGCAGGAGGCAGGAGAGGGAACAGACAGCATGGGCAGCTTCCTAAAAAAGTGTTATATATATATATACATATACAYATATATACACACATACACACATATTTAGGAAGGACTTCATGTCAATTCAGGCTTCAGAAACACCAAACCAGAACAAGATTAGTAGAGCCCCGAGCCTCCAGAACCACAACTAGCCAACACCCTAACACATTCACTCTGTCTTTAAAAGAAGCCTTTAGACAAAAGCAGTAAGGTAGAGGACTATCTTATAATGGGTTCAAAGAAGAAAATTTGGGACCTCCTGGAAGGAGGAAGAAGTACTGGCACATGGATATGGTTTGTTACCYAACACCTAAAACTGGCAAACTGCTACACCTGGAACTTCTAGTGAAATACAAMAGGTTTCCAATTTAAGCTTCACCTTACATGATTCACAGTCATCTCAAGTTATGAAAGCCTCATTGGCACTTTTTCTTCAAGGGTGGAGTACAGCTACCAGCTCTTGCAAAATTCCCTTTCAATCAACACTTTATCAAATTGAACACACCATTTTTTTTGTATTCTGACATATAATTACTTACGTGCCTGAATAGTTTTACATGTTCTTGTGCAGTGCAATATCTGGTGCTTGAAAGAGCTCAGCTTTCAAGTGACTGTGTTTATCAGCAGTTCCAGGCTTGTTTCAGTGACAGGTTGCAAAAGCACTAAAACTAGCACACTAGAACTGTTAAACCCCAAATTTGCCTCCAAGTGTATTTTGAATCACTGCACAGTGGTATCAGTGGCATCACAATTGCAGGTAGACTCCTGCTGATTAGGAAAGTCCTGGTTATCCTGAGAGGGAGTTAAGAGCMCATCACTGCTGAGTAACTAAGTGCTGACAGCCTTTAGCAAACTGTTCCTCTAAAAAGCAAGATAGAACACCAAATTGCTGTCCCAGGACCTTCTCAGGCTTGCTGAAGGTGTCCCCACCCTGCTGCTCAGGGAGCCCTGCAGGGCACACACAGCCTGGCATCACCAGACACCCAMGCTCTGCCTTCCTCCAGAGGTGCCACCTACTCCTGAGTCAGCAGCTTATCACTGTCACACGCCAACAGCTTCCACACCTTCCCCGACAAAGTCCACGCTGGCCAGCTCTTATTTGTATTGCATAAATTAATGTTTTATGGGCCAGAAAGAGGTGTGACCAAAAAAAAAAAAAAATAAAGCCAGAAAAAGATTTCCAGGCATGCTGAACAACAAACTGAAACAGTATTTTTTTTCCAGGTCTCTGCCTTTGAAATTCCACACCAAAATAAAGCTTTCAAACCTGATGCAGTGCAAAAAGTAAAAACCAAACAAACAGAAAGTGAGCTTTCACCTCTTGAGTGTAGATGTGCAGTAAATTTAAGGTACATCTGGGGAGTGTGTGAAGTGATTTGTCATCTCTGCACTCTCTGGCTGAAGCTGCAAGAGTCACAAGCATCAAAACCTCGCCTGTGCAGCTTCAAGAATGTTTACTTCAGACTGCTGGAGAAGGAAAGTAAAGACAGCAGGGTACCTTCAGCTCTGACTCAGCACCTTGCTCAGAGGTTTCACACAGTTAATTCCTCCATCTATCCACAAATGTAAAGGCAAAGCCTGCATATATTCTGTGAATCCTGAGGCCAGGCATCATGGAAGCACCACGTGCTGCTTGGAGCTTCCAAAGCATCCGGATGCAGCAACAGCCAGCATTCCCCAGAGCCATCCACCGAAACAGAAAGGCACAAGCAGCTGGCTTTGGGGACCCAGGGTAGGGGAAGTCATTCAAGGGTTCCAAGTCCACTCCTCTGCTGCTGCTGAATTAAACTCTTTATAATTTTTCTTACTGCACTTCAACCTTCTAGAACTATTTCACAACCTTTGGCTTCAACTGAAATTATTTATGACTGCTTTATGCATGTTTCTTCTTGTGAAACTTTTATTTTAAGAAGCTCCTTCCTTCCCATGGTTTTTGAAACTAGCCCCGTTCTCTCTCCAACTTCATTTTGCTAGGGATTTATCTAAGCTTTCGGTCTCTGCTCAGAAAATAGTCTGTTCTTTAATCATCCCTGGCCCTGCTCCAATTTRAAATTATCTTTCTCAAATGGGGGTGACTGGCTCCGCATAAACTATTACAGATAAGATGGCAGGAAGGCTTTGTAAACAGCATTAATACTGCTTTAATTTTTAAGGGAAGACACTCCCCTGATTCATCCTGGGACGCTGACATTGTCATTTCCAACTTGCAGCAGAAACTCACAGGTTTAAGTGGGAAACAGAAAAAAAAAGTACCACCTTTGGCACCATTTCTGTTTCTCCAGAGCTCACAGGCCAGTGGTCTCACCCTGTCAGTCCCCATCACCCCTGCCAGCCACATTCCCAATGTATCCATGCACTTTGCACCAGGTTCATGARAAAGTCATTGCTGGTCTGCTCTCTGTCTGTGCTGGAGAGCCTCACTAAAAAACCTCTCCTCATCCTGAGCACCCCCTTTAAAGCGGAACTAAAGGGATAAACCTTTCCCTTAGGACTCTTCCTTTGATACCAGTCCTTTCCCAGTTGGGTAAGAGCCTCTGCAGAATCTGCTGGGTGCAGCACTTGTCCCTTCATGCTCTTCCAAACCCTCCWCTCTCAGCTGTTCTCAGAGACCATCAGGCTTCCTGGATTTTTACTGTTATCCAACACAGCTCTTCTTAGCTCCAAATCACCATCATCATCCACTCAGAAGCATTTCTTTAACACTCCTCCCAGTTAGTTCAAAGCAAGCTTTGTCCCTGACACCTTGATGTTTCCCATGCAGCTAAACCAAATGTCCCATCCATGAACAAGGCATCTGAGGCCAGGCTGGACAGGACCTGGAGAAACCTGGTCTGGTGGAATGTGGGGGCTGGAAGCAGATGATTTTTAATGTTTCTTGCAACCCAAGCCAGTCTATGATTTTATGACCCTGTAAGATAGACCAACATCTCTTACAGTACCGTGAGTGGCATCCCTGCTCCCCAGCAAGAAATCCCCCAGCTGAGCATGCCACAACATCAACACATGGCCTGCACAGACACTGTTAACCATTTCACAGTTAACAGATTTTAAAAGTACAGATTGTTGCAAGCCCATGTATTTAAAATGGCTTCCCGTTTTCAGTGTAAAGCATAACTCACCAAACTCTCTAAGTGAAAAATAATATCAATTATCATAATATCACATGATTGAATACTCTGATTGAATCAGACTAAATCTGGCCAATACTCAGATGAACTCCTTGCAAGGAAAAGACAAGGCAATTCTGCAGAAATGCATGTAAAGAATTCCAAAGTCTCATTTTTTTCAGCTATATGCAAACCCAAAATGCAGTGACTACCAATTTTCATCTTCTGTGGCGCATTTCCAGAAACTGTAGGTGTACTCCTGGCCAAAACCCAGCTCTAGTTATCCTGTGTCCACCTACTTCTAAATTTCATCTGCAAGTTATTTTTCACGTTCTCTTTGTGTAATGTATTGACTAAGGTTACTGGCACAGAGCAACCGATGCCTTCTGTCCAAGACCAGGAGCATTTGAAGTGTATGACCCCAAAAGACAGAATCCTATGAACCAGAATTGACTAGATCACAGAGAAGCTTCACTGGAAATAAACAAACCTGGGTATAATATCCAAGATTTTACCAAGCTTCAGTTTCTYAAGATTGATAGCTGAGCCTCCAGGGTCTGCCACCTGCAGAGGGGCTCCCTACCCCATTTCTTTGTTCTAAAATGGTTTTATTTGGGCAGGGAAATACCAAGATGAGCAATGGCAGTGACGAAACAACCAGTCTTGGCCTGAAGTGCCTGATAATCTTCTGTTTCTTCAGATATAAATGCATTATTCTGAGTACCCCAAACTGCATTTGTAAAGGCTGAAGCAACACTGAAGTCAGTTAATTCATGAATGCTCTCATATTAATAAATATCAATGCTTTTAAGTCTTAAMCTTCAACAGACAATCTGATCTTGCCCCTTCAAGTGACTGCAGCAGAAACCTGCTTATTCCACTGCAGCCTGCACATCCCCCTACTATCAGGTTTATAGTAATTTCAACCACACCAAAAGTTACACAGAAAAAATAAGAGAAAAATTTCCTAAAGTGATGAAAAATGATCCCTAAAATACTATTTACATTGGGAAGGAAGTCTTTTCCCAACTATTCTGTACAAACCATATCAAAAGCAGCTCAATCAAGTGATTGTGCTGAAAAAAGAAAAAGTCAGTCCAAGATGTGGCAGAGATGAAGAAACCCTGAGTCAGCTGATGTCTCTCGCCTCCTCTCTCAGCATTGCAATGCCTCTGCTTCCTGAACACACTAATTACACCTGAACACTGTTGGTGCTTCTTTTGTTTGAAGGGATTTAGTTTGTTTGAAGGGTTGTTCTTATTCTTAATTATTCATTTGCTATGGACACAGAATTAAAGTTTGAATTAATCACAGAAATACTTACAGACCAAACAATTATCATTCTTCTGGACACGGAGTGATCTATATTCCAGTAGGTAAATGGAAGGAAAGTGATATAAAAAATCTCTTCACCCAAAGCAGCTGAAAACTTGAACAAGTAGTAGTAGAAGTAGTTCTTCACAATGTACTTCTGTGTGCAACCCTGGAAATAAGAGAATTTTGTCATTTTAGTGAATTAGAAAAATATAACAAACACTTGAAATATTTTAGCTGTTCCAGTTGCCAGTCCTTAAACCAAACATTTTGTTATAAGAGGCGTCAAGAAACGACATTCAACTTTTATACTGCAACAAAGACTTTAGTGATAGCACAGCTACATTTCCTGCAGAACAGAAATCTCTACAAACTAATTAAGGCAGCAGTCACACTGACAAAGCCTTTCAAGAGATGGGATCAACCTTTCCTCCAGGGTAATCAGGTGTATTTCATAAAAGGCACTGAGGTGCTAAATTTGAAGTTTCCACATCTGTAGACAAAGCCACCACCGCTTGCACTGGAAATGCATTTTGAGATTAAAAACTTGAACTGCAATCATGGAACCAATCCATTTAAAATTTGCCTCATTACAGTCCCTGAAATTTGCTGCCAGAAGGGGCTGCCARCAGCCCTCAACACCGAGTTCTTCCATGAACCTCCAGCCCTGAGCTCCCAGGGGCAGGATCCCATGGAGTCACCCCACAGTGAGATCCCACAGATTCAGCTCTCTCGTGGCATCTTGAAGGTCTCAGCATGGACACACTAAGTTAAGATACAGTTTTGACATGAGCTTGTMAAACTCTCCAAAACAGGAAAATGGTTATGCTTGGATCTGGCTCTGTAACTAGTTTACCAAGGAGAAAATCTCATCCTACAGGCTAGTGAGAAAACATAAAAACTGTCTAAAGAGTCTAGACATGCACTTGTGACTCATTGCAAAAGCCATTAGAAGTTCCAGCCTCTTCATCTGCTTTTAATGCAGAGAAGAGGCAAACTGCATGGAGATGACAAAACCAAGATGGAAAGAAGTTGCATCCATTCAAGTATCATAAAAAMCCCCACAACTTACCGAAATTGATTTTTGCATCAATAAACAGAAAAGATGAGTCAGCTTTTGAAATGGCAGGGTCAGAGGAGTGCTCCCCCATCTATCAGCCACAGGGGTACAGATGAGTTCCTGGCATCCCTGTAGGATAACAGCTCTGTGCCCTGGCTGGCTCTGTGACAGAGCAATCAGTCTGAGTGTCTCAAGTCCCATCTGCCACTCAGAAAACACCCTCGGTGCAATTAGCAACTCCAGTGCTGCTGTCTGAGATCCTGGAACTGCATTTGGTGACACTTAACACTGCCCCACAGAAAGCCCTCTTCTGGCACCACTGACTCCTCAATTAAGCATCCATCTCCAGGGGATTGGGAATTAKGAGCTGTGAGCTTTAGCTCAGAGATGATCAGACACATCCCAAGGTAATGCTTTTACACTTGCAACCTCATGGGATSAGGGATAAAACTTTCTAATTCCAGTAACTGTTTTGTGGGGAAAAATATATTTTATCAGGTTCTCAAAGAAATGTGGAGTTAAAATAATATTTCTGGGCTGAAGGCAGGTCCAAATACTTCCACATGATTTTTAAAACCTCTCTTTTTCTTTCTCCCATTCCTTTTCTCTCAGAAATCACATACACACACACACACACACACACACACACTTGTTTGGTTGGGTTTTTGACACGCTTTTTTTTTTAAATCTACCACAGCCAGTGCTACAGGGGACAAACAGAGCCTGACTATGACACGATGCTAATGGCCACATGTCAGGCATGCAGGGTGACAGAGAATTGCTCCACTTGGTGTTTGGCAGTGCATGGTGATAAAGTGATGTTTGCACTTGTGATCCTGAAGGAGTCAGCACAGCAATTCTCCTCCCTGCCCCTTCAAACCTTGTTAGCTCACATTTACCATCTGCACCCATTTCTGCAGAATGCAAAGGGTGCAGCAATTTGTGAAGTGTCTTCCCTTTCTATTCTCATTCTAGCCCCAGTGCAGAAAAATCCACCACTATTAATTGTGTGAACATTTGCCATCTTCTRACATCCCCAGAAATTTATTCCACCTCTAATTTTGAGTAACTCCTACCTTTAGGCTTGGTTATTCTTAATGTACYRCAGTGACCTGMTGCCTTCCACAATCCCTGAGGCCCTTTCAGCAATTCAGCCCCTCCATCCATCTCCATTGCTATCCAGTCTGGATCAGAGAGGTTTTGTTATTATTTATCAGAGAGGTTTTACAGCAATTAAGGCTGTAGATAAAACTAGAATTTTTTAGTGCATTTCAGAAGACAGATGTAATAAGCCTCAACATTAGCAGATACAGAAGACAGGTGATTTCACAAAAAGGACAGTTCTCATCAACTATAAAACATCTATTTTGAAAAACCTCAAATTGTCAGACTACAAGAAACTCTCACAGATGTGTTAGTCTCCATAAATAGACTGCCCAGCTGAAGTATTGGCACAGAAAATGGCTGTTGCAGGTCATGCCAGGTTTGCAGTCTCTGCACAGGGGTGGGACACCCAAATCAGGTGCTGCCACAGCACCCACCCAACTTCCCCAGAGCATGGGAACATCCCCAAACCATTCCCACAGAGCAGCAGGGCCAGCAGAGCAGGGCCAGCAGCCACTCTGGTGGCTCTGGGGACACAATAACGCACAATGACACAGTGGAGGAGGAATCCAGCATTTCAGAAATAATGTGTATATGTGATGTTTAGCCTTCAAAGCTGAAGCAAAGGAATAGCAGCCGAACCACTAACATAACAGATTAAAAATGTATTTTTAGGGGGAAAAAATAGTAGCTGTGCAAAGATACTACTCCTTGCAATTCCTCTGGGATATCTCTTGTCAGAGAGTGAAACAGGCCCCAGCTTTTCCTGCCCTGTCTCTAGAGACAAGCTGTGCAGCATCAAACTTCTGAGGCTCAGAGTCTGACCCAGACATCCCATTAACCAGCACTCTGTTCTCAGCTCTCAATTACTTGGGATCTCTCAGAAGATGTACATGTTTAATTGAAGTTCTTGAAGTCCCTTGCTTCCCTTCCAACAGAATTGCCTTGCAAAAGATTAGGAATTTCCCTCCCAAAGCCCCTAATTAACACATTACATACTTACCACTTTCAGGTTTTTTTAATGCAGTAAAAAAAAAAAGAAAGAAAGAGGGTACTAAATTTAGAGAAGCCACCAAAAACCAGGCACAAAAGAAAAAGCCAAAAATTCCCACTGAGATGTTGCTGTACGCAAAGACAATATAAATCAGACAATTCAGCCAGTGAATTTTATCTTGATGTTATTTCCCTTCCACTCTGGTTAGTAGCTGAGAGGTAGACTGAATTCTAGGTTTTATTTCTGTATCTTGCTCTTGAAGTAATGTGATTAGCCTCCTTCCTTCTGCTGAAGGAGCAAACATAAAAGTAACAGAATCTGCCAAGTCATTTAAATATAAAGTGCAATAATATGAGACTGGAGTGGACACAGCATTTATTTAGGCAATTAATAGGAAGAATCGAGGAAGGAAAAATTGATTATATTGTCTTCCTAAAAGAAAGCCATCTTAAACAAACAAAAGCAAGGATCTTTCAGATAGAGAGGAGTGGCTGCCAAGGAGACTGAGTTGCTTGGGAAGGACCCTGCCTGCACTCACTGGAAAGACATCCCCACCTTTGCTGACAGACAGACAGACAGACAGACAGACAGCCTAAACCAAGCCTGGTCCAGCTCATCCACCAGCGATGGGTGGCTCACTCTCCCATCACTCTGGTGGAAGTTTGCCCAACCTGTCCTTACCCAACCAGTGGTGGAGACTCCACTGCTTGCTCCCAGTGATCTCCAAGTGTTTTGCTTTCCTGCCACCTAGCCTGAAACTTTCTTGCTGAAATTTAAACCTATGGCTATTTTCTTATCTCCTGCAGACAAGGAACAAATTGTTTCCTTCCTCCGAGGGCTGACACAGGAGAAGGTTGTTTCAAGCATTCAAAAAGGACAAGACCGTCCTCTCTCCCACATCCCAATCACCTGGTAATTCTCACAGAGGATTCTGAGCATTTTCCAGACACTGCACCTAACATGTCTGTCTTGAATTACAGAGCCCAAAGGTCAGATGTGACATTTCAGTGATGCTGAAGGAACAGTCCTGCACAAAGCCATTCATTTTGTGGGCAGTTTTCCGAGGTTTGTCACCACTGAACCATGTCCAACCTGTGATCTCCTCTAACAACTTTTTTTTTTCCTCCATGAAATCTCTACCACGTGTCTTGTTTTCCATCTGCAGTTGAGTCCACACCAGGTTCTTCAACAAGGATCTGCACCTATTGAATAGAAGCCAATTTTCAGCTTGACAAGACTATTCAGTTTCTCATGCTCCAGCCTAACTGCAGCTTCTTCTCAATTCATCTCACAGGCAGCATGCCTCTCACTCCTGTATTTCCAGCTAGATCTTTCCACAAGGCTATGAAACATATTCTGAAGAGACTTCTCACCACTTTCCACCAAAAGGTGCTCATTTTGGCACTTGAACTGGCAGGCCATTCGACCTCCTGTATTCCTTTCTTAAAGATGCCTGGAGATGCCTGACAGCCATGCTCCAGAGAATCATGGAATAGTTTGGCTTGGAAGGTGACCTTTAAAGGTCATCTAGACAAACCCTCAAACCTCCCAGCTCATGTGGAGSTTTTCCCTGTTGCTAGTAAAAAGGCAAGACTCATCTTCTCCACACAGTGATCCCGTGGGATCAGAATTGTGTGAGTTGTGTTTCACCCCTTTTCTTCCAGATAATTTTGAGGAACTCCAATAGATCTACCTTCCACCATGATCTTCAGACTTKTGTTTATTTCCTTGCTCTTTATGGAAAGCTGWTCCTCTCGTGGCCRTTCCAGCTGCTGGARTCCCTCCCCACAAGTCCAGTCCTTACGCTTTTGTTTTTAATTACTGATGTGCATCTGCAGCATTTTCCTGCCAAGAAAGCTGCACAACACCAACACCAATAGGGCTGTGCACTTCTCCTCATTGATGAGCTCACCTCCTTCATTCCCTGAGCCCTGCTTTGCCAGGCAGAGCTTGGGAAGATTGGACATGGCTGTTTCAGATGTGGTGGGTGAGCTTCTCGTGCACTTCAGCATCCTCCCACATTCCAGGAAG